TATATATTGTGAAATTTTTCCAAAAAATGATGAACGGTTTGTATTTCTAGCATAGTTAGGGTCACTTTATTTTAAAATAATTATACATTCAATGATTTTAACGTATTTGTACATAAAACCATTACTAACTTTACACAAGTAACTTGTTATGACATAAAAATAAAACATCTGTACAGTTTGGCCAGGCAATACACTGTTGGCTGACAGACACCAAACATTTGAGCCGTGTCACGACAAAACCAACATAATGGGTTTGCGACCAGCATGGATCCAGACCAGGCTGCGCGTCCGCGCAGTCTGATCAGGATCCATGCTGTTCGCTTTCAGTTTCTTTACTTGATATAGGGTCTGTAAGAGAACAGCATGGATCCTGATCGGATTGCGCGGATGCGCAGGCTGGTCTGGATCCATGCTAGTCGCAAACCCATTATGTTGGGTTTGTCGTGACGCGGCTCAATTTTATCTTGATACTCATACAATTTTCCTCTGAAGAAAATACAAACATGTACTTTAGTTCTATAATATTTTAATATTGAATTTCCAGCCTGTAAGATCGCGTAAAGAAATACTATCCAATGTGAAATTAATCGCATAAGGATTTAACCGAAGTAGTACATGTATTTCGTTTTTTTATGTACAAAATACTTACTCACTGATAGTTTACTAAATGCAAAAGAAGCAAAAGAAGCAAAATGAGTACCATTTCGGAAAATGTTGCAGAACATAAAAAATTTAAAAAATCTTTTGAGAAAATATATTGCTTTATTGGTCATGATGAACCTTTAAAGTTAATAGACACATTCAAACGTCATATGTGTGTATGTGTATGAAATAGGAAAAAATCTGGAAACAAAGTGTTCGCTCGGAAGCATGAATCAGAACAAAATTACATGAAAATTGCAGACTCGGTTTGATTGAGTCTGTACATGAGGGATAATGAACAAATGCAACATCCCTCAAGCCCCCTAGCACCGACTGAGTGGTACTCAATTCTCAACACTTAATAGTGATGGCATCATGAAAATCAATAACATTGCAAACACATAACAAAAATTCAATTGTCCTGTGCAACCTTAACACACAAAAAGAAATTATTTTTATTATTTCACATAAGTATGGCACAAATCTGTATTAAAACTTCGAATGGTAAAAGGTGGAAATCATAATGATTGTTTAAATTGAAGTTCATATATACATGTACTTACAAAGTGAACAATAAACAAACCATTTTAAGAACAATATTAAAAAATATCAAAATATATAACTTGATGATGCAAAACACCAAGAAAATAATAAAAAATCCGTATTTAGTAACAAGCGGATTCAAACCTACAACGTTCAAAATAGTTTACGATCTCTCGCCTTTTTATAAGATAAATATTATTTAATTTTTTGTCTAAAGGATATTCATTTTGCTCGTGATACAAGCGACGAAATATTATCCCTAATACTGATTGGTCAAATCGATGACATCTCCCGTCGCTTATATCAAGGAAATCACAGTTAAGTTTGTCCTCCCCTACCGGCGCAATGCAAGCTTCATTCAAAGCGCACGACGCCCATGCGTTCACCACAGCTTTTGTTATATGATCATAATGAAACACAACTGTTGTTGCCCAAACTTCTCCAAATGATCTATATTTACATATGTCTTCTGCTAAATAATTGAACGTTCGAATGTCTGTCTGCTTCGCTATGCTAAGTCTTCTGGGATAAGATCTTTCCACAAAGAACAGCATACTATTATTTTTGGCATAGTTTATTGCACCGTCTAAATTGATATTTATCAGTTTTACTGAAATGTCAATCCACCAAACGAAACCAAACTCCAAAAGTGTCATCTGAAAAGATCGCAAGAAATAATAAATAGCTTGTTCCAATTTGATATCTCTGTATACCAATCATTGCGCAAGTAAGTACACCTTATTTGATTTTTACTTTTAAAAATAAAATAGGATTTCTAGATTTAGATAATTTTTAAATTTGCTTGAGTTTAATTTTTACTGAATTGTTCCGTCTTGTGTTCTGTTTTATTGACAAACCTATCGTTCTGAAAATGGAGATTTTGAATGAGTTTTAGAAGATATTATTTTATTTAAATTGTAATCAAATATTTGTCCATCGTTTTGTAAAATATTCAATATTTTTATGATAAATCAAAAGAAAGAACAAGTTTTTTTTTCTAAATTACATGTTATTGCTAGGGGCAATAGGAACATGCCTCTTGAGGTGTTGTAGAAACTAGACAGCAAACAACCCCTCCCACTCAAATCAGGCTTCGTAATAAGCTGTTAGATACAATAGTTCTCATATACAAATGAGCCGCGTCATGACAAAACCAACATAATGGGTTTGCGACCAGCATGGATCCAGACCAGCCTGCGCATCCAGGCAGTCTGATCAGGATCCATGCTGTTCACTATCAGTTCACTACTTGTTATAGTGTTTGTAAGCGAACAGCATGGATCCTGATCAGACTGCGCGGTTGCGCAGGCTGGTCTGGATCAATGCTGGTTGCAAACCCATTATGTTGGTTTTGTCGTGACGCGGCTCAAATATTCTTCTTATTTATATCGTAATGTAACTCAGTTATGTAATATATTTATGTAACATTTGTCATATATATCATATATCATTGTTTGTCAATGAATATTGTATAGAAATTTTAAGGTTTAAACTAGGGAGAAGTTCATTGTAAATTATTTAGAACACGAATACCTTTCGTTCTTTTTGGCGATAAGATTTCTTACCTGGACTATTAATGGTTTAAAGGCATAGGTTTTCAGTTTGCGTACATGTGGCGGGAATATTTCAAATGGAAACCGTCTAATTTCACATTTACACTTTTGACGTAACTGAAAAAAAACATATTGGAAAAAATTAATGATTACTTTAATGATTACTGGAAGGCATAACAATAAAATATAAAAATTGTAGTAAGATGATGTTGAAAAATAGGTCCCCAGACTTGTGAGATGTTCGAATCCCAAATACTAAGGAAAGTTTAAAAAATGGATGGAGCTTCTATCTGGGATCATTTTCTATTAATAATAGAATTACGGTCTTAATGCAAGTTTTGTACTGCTTTGTAAATCGTACATCATATCTTAAATTAATGTTGTTCAACTAAACCCTACCGTCTGTTGAGGCCTTCAGAAAATATTACCTTTTATGATGAATATAAAGAACGTATAATGAATTTTGAATACAGTCCTTAGCCCGCTAAAAGCATATTCTACGCATACGACAATTTGCAGACGATCAGCCGGTGCATTCATGCAGTATGATACAAATGTGCAAAGTTTAATGTTCAGCCAGCAAATATTTTAAAGTTTTCTCTAAAAATTATGTTCAGATTGAAAGATTTGTAAGTGAAATTTTAGATATTTAGCGATGTAGGGGTTAAATAACAGTATATTGTTTACCACTTTTAATTGACGCTCGGACAAGCCTAAATCATACACAATCAGACGACTTTTCCCCTTATTCTTATCAGCTTCTAGTACAGAGTGTAATGAGGAAAACATTCCTTGACTATATGGATAGTACCGGAAATCCATTGCTGTAACAAACACCGGAAATGACGCCATTTTGTCTGGTCGGGTTTTGTTTCCGCCAATTTTCGAAAGATAACGGTCGGCATCTCCTCTTGGGTAATTTTTTATTACTTGCAAATTCTCGTTAAAGCTTGGGGCGAAAAGTTTGTCACATGTCTTTGGAAGATCTAGAGAAAATAAAACACCGATGTATTGTATCATTTAAAATTAAACAGAACAGAACAGAAATTTCTTTAATATAGTGGGTTTGCGACCAGCATGGATCCAGACCAGCCTGCGCATCCGCACAGTCTGATCATGATCCATGCTGTTCGCTATCAGTTTCTCTACTTGTAATAGGGTTTGTAAGCGAACAGCATGGATCCTGATCAGACTGCGCGGAAGCGCAGGCTGGTCTGGATCCATGCTGGTCGCAAACCCATTATGCTGGTTTTGTCGTGACGCGGCTCATATTATGTATCTATTATTAACACATATCAGTGATAAAGCTATAAAAAGATAAATAAACTACAGACACTGAAAATGTTTCGTAAGGAAAAATAAGTAAAGCCAGACAATACAATCTTTTTCTCCCATACTTTAAGAATAATATTAGATTTGTTATGCTGAAAAAATAAATAAAAAATCATACTGCATATGTAAGCATTCTTTTTTTTATGAAACTGTTAAAGCAACAAGCACCTTAACTTAAGCCATGCAGTTTTACTAAACTTGCTTTCCAATTTTACTTTTATTTGCAAAGAATCCAAATAATTTGAGGCAGAAATCGATATAGCCCCATACAAATTCAAAGCAGGAGAATCCATTTAAATACAAAATAGGAAAATAAATGAATAGTTACACTTGAATCCATCATTCAGTTCATATTTTCCTACTGGATTTATTTCAGTTGACGCAGAATGATCTAAAAGGGAAAACAAAAAAATTAAAGCAAATCATTTACTTTTCTCGTATGCATATGTACAAGTTAAATTGCCATCTGTTTCAACAAAATTTGAGCAATTTGAATTGTATAATGCCTTAGTGCCAATGCCTTTATAAAGATATGTCTTTTTCATTATTTCTTGGTTATCAATCAATCCCTTATTGCAAGTTCCTTGTCAAAATGCTGAAAGATATACATGTTATATGCTCATCTTTGAGTAAAAAACCTTTATTTCAGAAATTTATTGAAATCTTGGAAAGTCGAACTGAATATGTCAACTTGGAATGAGAAAATTCAAAACCTATGTTTAAGAACCTACAGTCACTACTTCTTGTCTAGATAATATGAGCCGCGTCACGACAAAACCAACATAATGGGTTTGCGACCAGCATGGATCCAGACCAGCCTGCGCATCCGCGCAGTCTGATCAGGATCCATGCTGTTCGCTATCAGTTACTCTATTTGTAATAGGGTTGGTAAGCGAACAGCATGGATCCTGATCAGACTGCGCGGATGCGCAGGCTGGTCTGGATCCATGCTGGTCGCAAACCCATTATGTTGGTTTTGTCATGGCGCGGCTCATTTGGACCTTTCTAAAAAAACTGCCAGAGTTTTTAATGATATTTTGTATTCACCTATAGTGTGCTTGAAAAAACATGTTTTGACTTCATGTTGATTCCTCTTACATCAAAAATACTGCAATTCAATATCAAAATTTTCCCTGTTTGTCTCAAAGTAATTTAGTACTATTAGTAAGATTTGATCATTAGAATAAGATGGTCCTGACCGATACATCAAGTGATAACACTCATGCAAGACTAGCTGTTGTTTTGTTATTTTTATTGCGTTTGAAAATATGGTTGTTGTCACATTTCTTTACCATTTATACAAGTACCTAAGCGTTACAAACCCTTATACTTTACTTATAATTTGTCAACGCGTTACCATAGAATGTATCTCCAAGTAAAAGTCCACAAACAACAAGAGTCGTCACTATGATAACGATATCGATTTGTAATGACACATCTGAAAGAACAAATATATCATCAGCAAAAGAAAAAAATACAATAAGAATACAGTTTACGGTGTTTAAACCTACCTACTTGCAAATCTTTTACACCGATAAAAGAAGAATAGAACATATATAAACAAATATATATGTCATAATCTAATTGTTATTGTTTTAAAAAGTACAAGAGCAATTGCAGTGTTTTTTTAAAGATCCTGTATGTTGTAATTGAGGTTGTTACCACACTTAAGTGAAATTTTATATATGTATATAATTATGCTTATAAAACATTGAAAAATATGTAAAATATGTACTTCAAATATGTGTGCACATTATATGTAATCATTTAAATATATGCATTTAATTCTAATTGAAAAAAAATGACTTAGCCTTTGTAGAAAATAAATTTCTAATTACCTCTCTTTATTTACATGAAATGTTAATTTAGGTAATATCTTTATAAATAATGCTTTTTGGAAGTTACAATATTGATAAATCTTAATTTGAGCATCATTTTTATGATATAAAACCATAAAAAATGTGTTATAGGATCTTTAAGACAAACGACTCAATACACATAATGTGACTTCAATGAGAAAAACTCAAAAAAAGCAACGAAAACTCAGATCATTTGAGTATGGTACATAGGTACATGAGGTACATAGGTACATGAGGTACATGAGGTACATAGGTACATGAGGTACATGAGGTACATAGGTACATGAGGTACATAGGTACATGAGGTAAAAATCTCTCAGACATGACCCTGCCCCTTTCAAAGACGCATTTCGAACAGGGGAATTCTATTACATAAAATGATGCATAATAATTAAACTCATAAATAAAAAAGTATACTCAATCTAAAGAACGTAATTATGTTTAATTGCAGTCATAAATGAAATACAAATTCAATTCAAATCTTGCTTTATGACTGTACAAAAGACAAAATGAAAAATTTAAAGGAGACCGAAACGACAAATTTAAATGTGTTTTTTTAAATTTAAATATAAATATGACATTTGGCCAGCTTTTTATACCAGATATGTAAGATATCGAATTATAACATATACTTAATCCACTATGCCAAATAATAAATTACAAAATCCTTGTTGAACTGTCTAAAACACTAAGAAAATAAAACCTGGAAATTTCTTCAAACATAGTTTCCATTTCATTTTTAATTTACATCCAACTTGCTGAAAATATCTCTGAAATTTCATGATAGATCATGAACAGGAATTTTAACGACGAGTTGATGTGCATGAAATACGGAAGCCCTGGAGTAATAAGTAATACGTAAAAAATTTTGAATAATAAATGTCCCTCCAGGGCTTCCGTAAAAAATGGCGCGGTATAATTGAATATAAGAGATAGTATGTAAAAAATAAGTCATAAGTTTTAGATAATAAGTAATACGTAATAAATTTTAAATAATAAATGTTCCTCCAGGGCTTCCGTAATGAAATGACCGGAAATATCTTTAAATATATGACTATATGGTTTTAATACCATAAATGTGGATGAGTTATAAATATCAAAACCGCTTTAAAGTTTATTAGTTGAATTAAAGCATGTTTTTGCAGTTTAGGGATAAATATATAAATATTGTCGGTTTAAATTTATTACTTATATATGTTTACAATTGTATAGCATTTAAATGGATAAAGTTTGTGCCCTTCTCGCTTTAATAGGAGCCTCACAATTTTCGTTACTATAAAAATAATCTGACTAGTTTGAAACTGTATAAATCACTCGTTCAGTTTTGCTTGACATTCCAGATTCATGTTAATTTTCATGAAAAATTTGGAAATGTATTTAAAAGTAAAATATTCTTGAAATGAACAAATAAAGCACTTAACATATTGCAATCGGCACTTACAATCCAAGAAAATTATCAAAAAATGGTCAATATATGCAAAAACAGCTCTCACTGCGTTAGTAACGCAACAGAAATATGGTGATAAAAGACTGCTTTTGCATTATAAAATTTTCTTAAAATTTAGTACAATTTTCTCAATATCGATTTTCTTGAAATGAGCCGCGTCATGACAAAACCAACATAGTGCGTTTGCGACCAGCATGGATCCAGACCAGCCTGCCCATCCGCGCAGTCTGACCAGGATCCATGCTGTTCGCTATCAGTTTTTCTACTTGTAATAGGGTTGGTAAGCGAAAAGCATGAATCCTGATCAGACTGCGCGGATGCGCAGGCTGGTCTGGATCCATGCTGGTCGCAAACCCATTATGTTGGTTTTGTCATGACGCGGCTCAAATATTTTTGCTAATCTGGAAGCGAGCAGCTTTTGGTATAGTCAGGGACGAGCAGGCCGGTTTGGCTCTTTACTGAAAGCAAAGAGTTTATTACTTTTGGTTTCAGCAGGCTTAGATCCATTATGAACAGACCGTTTGAAAGCGAATTGTTGTATCAAACCACCATACCACCCCAAATACCATAAGCAGCATCTCAGAACAGAATTGAATATCTATCATAATCATGATACAATACATTTGCAAATCTGTATTTATACTGTTAATGTTTTAATATCTAGCCTGCTGGCGGCAACTAAATTTACTGGTGCCACCAGTGCAGACGAAAATCAACCAACCAACACATTTGTGCCGTCTGATCATGGCCCACACTCTTCGTAATACAGTCAGCTAAATATATGGCATGATAATGGCATGAACATCTACAGTAATATAGATATGAGTAATATTATACCACTAATAGTCAAGTCATATTTTACATCTCGAAATAATTACATGGTATAATTGTGGTGTCAAGTGCTGTGATGAAAGAGCGCGCACGATACTTATCTTCACTTTAGTTTAATAATTAATAAATAAATAAATAATAAACTATCGACTTAGAAGATATTTGAAGTGCTATATCAAACCCATTGCTTAATCCTCAGCTTGGGACCGGTTGAGTTGGGAATATTTTTTTTTTTAGTTTTCACTTTTCTAATTTCGCAATTCTGCTGTTGTCAAAATATCTCGCTTCAGACTATAGGCGTATGCTAGGGTTTCATATAGACATTTAGCAAACAAAAACTCCGTATTAAAAGTTACTTATTTATAAAACTTTATTTGAATTTAATAACAAAAAACATTTTATGCGAAAATATAGGGGTCACCGAAACCGCTTTTGAGTTCAACTAGACATAAATTTCTTGGTTACTCTTCCAAATGGAATCTGCTGGCGGCCTGCAACCAGTGCAGACAGTGATCAACCAGAACACCCGGGCCTTCTGATAATGGTCTACACTTATCGCTATTCATTCAGCTTATATTTCGAAATTTTCTCTAAAATGATGAATGGTTTTGTTTATTTCGAAATCAAGATATTTAGTCTGGTAAGTGTTAAAATTCACACACATCATTTTTGCAATTATTTGTTAGAGTGTCTGTTCGGTTAATAATTATTATTTCACTCAAAACTTTCATAAACGAATTCGCTTTCTCTTGATGATGAACTCGGCTTGTTAAAATTCCTAACACCGATTTATCGTAATTATGACAACTTCCGGTATAAGTCGCACTGACGTCACAATGTTTTGATCCGTGTGGCGCGATGCAGTTTTTATCTAATGCACACCTTGTCCATGCGCGGATAATTACTCTGGTAACGGAATTAAAATAAATAAGAACAGAGTTTGCATCCGGGACATGACAATTTCTGAATTTACAACTGTCATCGCCGAGGTACTTAAAAGTTCTTGCATCTGAACTTTTGGTTAAATTCCTCTTAACCATTTCAGGGGAAATGTTAAAAAGCAATCCATATCTTTTAGCTGCCCAAAATAAATTTTCAACATCTAATGTTTTAAATCGGACTGGAGAATCCACCCACCAGACAAATCCAAACTCCATGAGAAGTATCTGTAAAAGAAAAGTGTTTTTAAATTACGAGAGGCCCAATCGCAACTACTCGGCCCTTTCCGTCAGTCTTCGGATAAGGACCTCGAACACAATAGTATGACTACACAGAACGGATGCGGTTTTCCGGTTTAGCCTACGCTAAGAAACTAAACATGTAAACAAATAGTAATTTAATGCTGGGAGTTGTTGACAAGTTTATTTCCAATATATGTAGTTAAAGTCCACCTAAAATAAGTGAATTCATAGGTACAAAAGCAAACAATACATTATTTATATATTTACTAATATGGCTGTAGAAACCGAAAGTACAAAAAACCAACCTGTTGACATTTAGTCGGATTTGTATAAAATTGAACATCAATGGGCATTTTTAAATTACAAATTGTTGTCAGACATATTTTCAAGCAGAAGAGTACCGGAACAGACATTAGATGTCAAATATATACATTCGTTTTACATTATCTCTGTTTCTGTTTACATCTGTAAATCACATGGTAGAACTACTTTCAATCCGTATTGTTTCCGATGTTATTATAGATAATAGCCGAGGCAGTTGCGAATGACGCGAGACCTTGGTGAAGGAATGGTGTACGCGCAATATGTCGTCATGTGTGACGCCATTTACGAAATGCCATAAAGTAATTTCAGTGAATTTTCTTCTTTTTTTATGAGCATTTTAAACTTGAATCATGACAAATGATTTAATGTCTATAAACTTATAATAGGGCAATAATCTTACCTGAATTATTATAGGCTTCCATGCCATATATTTCAGTGCTTTAACATGTGTCGGGAATTGGTCAAACGGGAATTTACGAATTTCAAAAGGCATCCCAGAGTCCTGGAAAAATAACCAAATTGGTATCAGTCTTAACTGCATTTTATTAAGAACTTTGTTCCCACATTTGCCTATAAATAAACCCCTCACTCAAAAATAAACCCCTCACTCTAGTTCGTAAATGACGAACCCATAAAACATTTATCTCTCTTATACACAATGATTTCGTGCAAATTCCTAAGTTAGATATACATAGCAAATTGTGTGAAAAATTACTGCTATAAAACACAATACTTTTATTACAAAAATGCCGCAATTTATAACATTGTCACAATATCCTTGTAATTTAACAAAATATTTCCGAATAACCTTTTATTTTGTTTTGTAATCTTATACGTTATTTTTGTTTTATCTTTGTTCAGTCAGGTCCGATTTACATATATTCAAATGACTTTATTTACCTTAATAAGTTTCCTTTGTAATTTCGTCATTCCGATGTCGTAAATCAAAAAATCTATTTTTACTCCCTCCACTCGGTCGAGCGCATGGCCATGATATGATTTTATAAGGCCAAATAGAAGTGGAAAATATTGACTGGAAATTGCTGTTACTAGCACGGGGCTGCCTTGTCTTTGAGTGATAGGCTGTTTAAGAGATCCACCAATTTTCCACATGTAACTATCCGCTGTACCACCAGGGTAGTTCTCAACAACATGTAGGTTCTCCTCTAGAGTTGTTGCAAAGGTCTCGTTGCAGTCTTCATCTACAGCTAAGAATGAGCAAGAACACAACTTGAAAAATTAATATGAGCCGTGTCACGACAAAACCAACATAGTGGGTTTGCGACCAACAATGATCAAGACCAGCCTGCGCACCCGCGAAGTCTGATCAGGAGCCATGCTGTTCGCTATTATTTCCTCTACTTGTAAAAGGGTTGGTAAGCGAACAGCATGGATCCTGATCAGACTGCGCGGATGCGCAGGCTGGTCTGGATCCATGCTGGTCGCAATCCCACTGTGTTGGTTTTGTCGTGACACGGCTCATATTCAGATATAAATTAAACATAAAAAATCGGGTGCTTTGAGAAAATCATGAACAATTTGCTTTTCTGACAAACCAAAACCGAGTTTTATGTTTTTAAAAAGGAGTTCATTGTTATAAAAACATGTCTATGTTATTACATTTGTATAGGTATTTCATGCAATAGTGATTGCAAATATATACCATTATTGGATTTCAGACATTACATGCACATCTTTTAACTATGATTGAGGCAAACTCAGTAATTTTGTACAACCCTTTTGCTTTTTATGAACAACTCCAGCATTCATGTAAATACTGTAAATTTATTTGATAATTTTTTGTCCTCTATTTGCATGAGACATTGTATCTGTTTTGTATACTAGAAAAGAAAAGATTAAACTAAACTTAATGAAGACAAGCTCATTAAAATGATTGATGAAAGAAAGGCAACATTTCTTGATGTATTGTCAAGATTGATGTTTTCAACACTTATTTTAAAACTATGTAAACAAAAGGGTCATACTTAGACTATTTTCAGTATTTCCGTGTGCTATTGAATCAAATTCAGCATTTCCTTTCAACAGTCGCTCTGAAATTATAAAAAATATAAATTTTATGAATAAAATTGTCTCTTTTCAATGTATAGGTCTAATACTAATTTTCCAACTTTCAGTTAAAGTACCATCTTATTTCCTACAAAACTTCTACAAATAACAACTAAAACACTCGAATGCAATATGCGAGAACGCTTGTATTTAGGGACAATATACAAGATGACATAATAAACGTGCAAATATAGCATAAAGCAATAAATATTGTAAGGGGGCAGGGGACCTAAAAATGAAAATAATTGTATTTCAGTGTGACCAGAAACACAATTCCAAATATTTCAAAATCTGTTTCACAGGCAGATAACCAGTTGCACAGCATTATTCAATGACATATGACATACATTGAAGAAAATAATAGTTTGCATGCATTGCTCCTTCAAAAAATGACTGACAGCAATTTATATTTACCCCCACCCAGCCAAAATCACACCTAAAATATACCAATATGGGCAATCTTCATGAAGGTGCAGCATACACCAAAATCCGCCCGATTCCTTTAAAAAATATCAGTAACAGGCAGTGCAAGCTATGGCATTTTCAGAAATGACCAACCAATAAAGTGTCTGTCATACGTTTAGATTTTTCACAAAATTTATCTGAAATTTCTTACTTGTTTGGCGCCAACTGTCAAAGCTTGATTTTTATTTTTTTCACCTCCATTCGGAGAGTCAGAAATACATACAAAGCTACCAAAATGCTTAGTTTCGGGTAAAAACCCAAAAATACTTCTCATTTCCTACACACAAACAAGAAAGAATTACAATGACAGAGAAATATCAGAAGTTATCAGTACCTTCAAAACACCATGTCTGAGTTATTAAAAAATTTGACCGGGGCCATCATTCGAATATGTCCCCTGTCCCCTAATTGGTTAATAAATTTTATCTCTGTCATATAAATGTTTTGCAAATCGTGGTCGACTCGTCCAGGGAAAAACAAAAACAAAAACAAAAAATCCCTTTTAAAATTTTTGAATTGATTTCAGTGTTATTAAAGGGAAAATATTTTTGGAAACCGGTGTCCATTTGCCAACACAGGAAAGTGACTGTCAAATACCACCGAATGTTGGGCCTCATCCTTGCAAAACATCTAACATTTACACAAAACGATGTAAAATGTATACACTACGTTTGCGTTAAAATTTAAACAATACATTTCATTAAGGCAAAACTTGTACACTTCTACAATTGTACTTATCACAAAATAATTTTGGCATTGAATTTGAATGTGTGTGTGTGTGTCCCTAAGAGTTGCTCGCTAGAAACTTGTTTTCGAATATGAAAAACCCGATTAAATACAGCTCGAATCATTCGAGCGAACAATGAATGTACATAAACCGGGTACTCATCTATACGTTGTAACGATAAGTACCAAATAAAATCCTCCACAAGCCACTGAACTATCACATACCAAGTCATTACGAATTCAACAACCTTAGCCACTCAGTCTTGTGGCCGCTAAAGAATAGCGATAATAGAATACACAACTTTACAAAACAATTTCAAATTAAGGCTTACCTTTGTAATTATGTTTTATAATTCCAATACATGAAATAAAAAGCAAGAAAATAGCACAACATCGAATGAGAAATCTAACCATTCCTATGAAATGTTAAAACCTCTTCTTCTATGGTTGATGGTAAATGATATTTGTTTATTATATCTAATTTATATTAAATTTGTACGGTTGACTTATGATAACCTATATAAAGTTAAGACTATTCAATAATGTGACTAAACCTATTTAAATTGTTTACAAATTTTAATAGTTTGATACACTGCGTGTGGTTAATGCATGTCCAAAACAGCTCGAGGGTAAATAAGATGTCCAGATTCATATCGAGTTATAGCATTTAACATAATTATGTGCCTCTCTGTTTCCCTATATATCATACGTGTCATACATATATTTTATACACTTTTAATGTCGACAAGACCTTTAATTTAAACACACACAAAACTAGTTCTATCAAGCGTTCAATGTATTTTATTGTTTTTTTCTTCAGCTTCCTGATTTGTTACATTCTATATTTTATAATTTTGCACAATAGAAGCTTGCATTACACTCCGCCGTCCATTTGACTTTATCTAAATTTGAGACCTAATTTGCACCGTGTTCAATTTCTATTGTTAGGCGACTTGTTTACTTTCAGTATATTCAACATTATTTCATCATCCACAAATGATAAAATACCTATGCAACTTACTTTCAAGTATTATTTCCGTCGTTTAAAGGGAGACACAGGCAAAATTTTCATTCTTCGTTTTGAATGTTTCATTCATTATTCTGTAACTGTCCTCAAAACAAATACACTAGGCAGACACAGGAAACTAAACTCTTTTCTTTCTAAAAAGAATAAAATGGTGGTTTCCGTGGTCCAGGTTAGAGCGTTTAGATTTCACAATAGTTGTTACATTGAACTCTGGAAACGTTAAAGAACATGTCAAAACGACTTAGACTTGTTTCAATCATACAATATCAACAATATCTGTTATTGTAACTTCCAGGGTTTGTTCAAGTCACATGCCTTGTTTTAAAACTACTCGGTGATTCAGTCATATGTAGGTAAGCTCAATTTTGTGTAACTCTAAAGATTATTTTAAGATTACTTTTTAACCACTCTTATACTAGGACTGTAGTCATATCAGATAAAATGGTGAGTAGGGCTAAAACCGAAAATACGGGTTAAGAAGATAACGTATTCATCACTCAGTCACTTGTTGTTTTTTTCTCGTCTACGGTAAGTATTTTCCCTTTTGCCCCTAGTTTTATTTATTTAATAAATCAATCATTTATTTGTTTTCTTTGATTTCCTTGTGGTTTACCATTATTTCGTCTTATGTATCATTTAAGTGATAAGCCTATCCGTGCCCTACCTTGCGCCCTGTCCGTTTTTCTTGGGGGGGGGGGGGTCCTTTTGTGTAACTTTGTTCTTGTCGCCTGGTTTTGTGGGGGTTGCGTTCATTGAACGTTGCCTTTCCTTGTTGATCTTGTTTATCATATTTAATAAAACTTTATCATACCACTCAAAGTAGGCTCGTGGGTCTCATTATGTTTTCCAAGGTGTCTAAAAAGTAGCAATGCTGCTGCCTTCTTTTTCTCGGTTGACGCATCATCAAAGCATGTAATTTCTGCAGGAAATAAATTGAAAATAATTGTAAATTAATTGTAAATAATGGAAGCTTTTGATGTCTCTGTAGAGATGTGCAAAAGTGACAGATGAGGAAGATGGTCTAACCGTTTATATGTCCACCATGATAAACATGCAGCGCTTGAGCCACTAAAAATTGCTTTCTTCGGCCTCTTTCGGCCTCATCGTGGTCCCATCTCGATGGCATCGTACCAAAATACGATGGCGACACGACGGTATTGCGGTGGCTTCACGTAGTCGTGTTCCCTTTTTAAGACTATCGGGAATCTTCGTGTTTACTTCGTATTGTCTTCTTGAGGCTAAAAATGTCATATTGCACCGATGATCACACGCAGAAAAGACGAAGACTACACGATTTGACAAGATGGCTTCACGGCGGCCTTACGAAGGGCAAAATTGACATACGAATTCAACACGAAAATGAACCTTCGCAATGTCTTCGGGCAATTTTTTGGCATGCCAAAGATTTTGGAACCGCTCACGAAGTTGCTGCCGGAGCTTGTAATATTCAGCCGGGGATCATACGAAAGCAAAAGATGCCCTCACGAATGGCACGATGTTATTACGATCAGATCTGAATTTGAACATTTTCTTATTCGTGTGTCCATCTAATGCCATATTCGGGACAGTGTGACGCCTGCATTACAATTTTCACTTCTTTGGTAATGTTACCATGTGACAAAATATAAATTATATTGGTATTGATATATTAATATCATTTGCAGACAGGCAAGCAAACTGAAAAATATAATATATATAGTTTGTCAAATAAAAGAAAAGAAACAAACATGCCGATAAATGTTTGATAAAAATATCTACTGAAATATAAATGCAGTTGGTTTTTCGGTATTTCAAATTTAAAGGAATCGGTCAGCTCACTTAATAGTTGAACAATGGAATTTAGAATATAAGGAGCTGCAGCATTGATGACAATTCCTTGTCAATAGTTTCTAAAATAAATGGATTTTCCAATGAGTGATGCTGGTGATATATCGAATGTCCATTAGTGCTAGGCTTTGTTTTACATTCGAATAACCTCAGTTTTATTTTTTCAGAAATTTTACCAAAACACCAGATGCTTAACGGTATTGCTTCTCAGACAAGATGACGATATATAATTACAACTCATTACTATTATAGAACTGGCTTTCAACTGCATGATATTGTAACATCAATAAAACATGGAACAGCTGATTAACTTCCGTATTCAAATCTTTCCAAATAATCTAAAATCCATCTAAAGATATTCCCTACAGACTGACATATAATAAAAACATTTGTATCAAATGAAATCCTGTCACTTCTCATTATTGGAAATGATACTTAGACAAAATTGCTTAGAAATAGGAGGCGACCGTAATGGGTGATTAGTAAAGATCATTTGTGAGACGAAATTAGCCTTTCTTAATTCGAAAACAAGCGGTGATGTTTTCTAGATTGCTTAAAATGCATGTTTCGTGAAAGTATCGAAATAAGGTGTTTCGCCAAAAAATGTTCATTCAGTTTTTTTATGTATCTTGACAATTTAAAGGGACTTCACTGTGATGTTTTACATAAAAGGACCGGAAATACTTTTACCAAAAATGTGTCCCAGAATAATATATTTCCTGTGCAAAATTATCCAAAGTGGAGAGCAGTGAAAAGTGTAAAAACGTTTTCAACTCAAAAAGGCTAAAATTGGAATACAAATCGATTTTAAATTTTAATTCTGAATAAAGTTTGAATTATCTTTGGCATATTTACTCGTGTGATCTATGCAAGAATTTCATAGCTTCTTCACAAAAAATAATCCAAAGGACCTGTCGGGATTCAAACCCACAGCGGTGTGGGGCAAGTGGTGTAAAGACAACGACATTAACCACTTGGGTACGGGCGTGAAAATATCTTTCTCGTCAATCAGCCTGAATCATTTAATGTGAAAATCTGATAAACAAGAATTTGTGACAGACACTATCTGTCTCGTGAGTTTGAATAAAAAGAGTTTATAATCATGTGACTATATCAGTTTATATCTTCACAGAGATTTCATCATTAGTTCTTTAACAGAAAGTTCCAAAATTCCATAAGGTTTATCGTGCATTAAGTAACCAAAGAGCCACACAAAACATTGTTATTATTTGAGCAGTCCTGGTGCAATCTATTACAGTGATTTCACAAATAGAAACGATTCCTGCTGGAAATATTGAAGAAGAAGAAACAGAATCAGCAGATGAAGCCGACGACGAGAAAATTATTAAACTTATTTAATTTACTTCTAAATTTATACATCAGAACTAATATATAGTTCTAAAACGTTTTGTCACGGATGTTATTAGATATAACAAAACAAAATAATATTCAGTATATACAGTTCAAATAATTATGAAATTAGATATTGTAAAGAAGTAATGAATTTCAAACTATTTAATACTAGCAAAGTATCAAACAGTTAATATAACGAAAATTGTTAATGTCAATAAATCAATCTTTTCACATTCGTTAATTTGGTAAGTTAGCAAAGATTGTTCTGTACTGATTGAACTAAGATTTGTTTGTAACGTGCACTGTAGAAAATATAAGATACATTTTATAATATTTATGGCATATATCTTATTATGTCTTCAAGTCTCTAAAACAGAAAGTGTTAAGTGTTCTTTATCATTTTTTAAAAAAGCTGCCCCTGCCTTTATCAAAGTGTTTTAATATTGCTTTAAGTCTTCCTCCGGTTTCATTGATTGTTAAAAGATTATTGCCTCAGCCGGTGCTTGGGGGTGTAAGATGTATTACATCTTTCATTATCTCTAATGAGCAGCCGCAATCAAACAAAAGCTTTACTTTTGAAAATGATATATGTTCACTTAGTAAACATGCAATATATTGTCAACATCTTTTCAAATGTCAACATACATGTTAAAATAACATCTATGACAGTATGTCTTATAAATCAATTTCTGAGTTTAAATTCCATAGATTTTAAGTTTTGTTCTTTAATCTATATCAGTAAACAAAAGGGGAACACAATGACAGGAAACTATTAAAATGGAACAAAAGCATAAGTAGAAAAAAAAAACAAACTAAAAATATAATGAAAGTTGTAATGCCATGTACAATGTTTCACGAAATACTTATGTCATATACAACCTTTTTATTGATAAATGATTCCTTAGTGTCATGTGATATCACGTACTTAATCATTTTGCTATTTCATTCGTTTCTGGTGCACTTAAGCAGTTTACAAAATGCCGGTGAGATGGCATTCTAAGTTAAAAGAACTATTATTCTTGTCACAACTTCTTAGCAATTTATATCTTTGAATAATGTTCTAAAAGCATCTTAGTTGTAATGCTTTTACCGTCTTTGAAGTGCAAATCCTATGAATGCATTACATTTCTCTAAAAGTCATGTCTCCGGATATCTTAAAAAGTAAATGGTTAAAAATGAGATTTGTCAGTAATGTTGCAGAAACAACTCCGTTAAATATCAGAAAGGGTTACAAAGATAATGTTTTCCGTTTAACCCTGCATTACTATTTGCTTGTATGTTTACATCAACTGTTTTCATTATTTTGATTTTAAGACACAGATTAAAATTTTGACAAATCTATTAAG